GGGCCGAGGGTGTGATAAAATATTTATTACATAGACAGGTGGGCCGAGGTGGGGTATAATTATATAGACGGGTGGGCCAACATAGGATGTATTACATAGACGGGTGGGCCGACATGGGGGATATTACATAGATGGGTGGGCTGACGTGGGGGAATTGTACATAGATGGGTACATATATGGGTGAGCCTAGATACGTTTCATCAAGACATACAGCTGATGTAGCCACCAGCGAATCAAACACATAGGATACATGCACACTATGAGTGCATATACCTACCATCAACCACCGAAATCTAAACCTGTAAGCACGAAAACATGAATCGACCATGTGTGGCATTGACCAATAATTGAGTACTGAAGTGGGAAAACCCCACACCTGAACCCTGGTGTGCAATATATCCTATTTCTACACACAGACACCAGAAGCACAACACTCGCAAAAATATGAATGTCAAATTTTCACAGTGCTGAACCCCGAACCCTGAGATTTTACCAACTCCTGAACCCCGAAATTGTGGACTGCCGGGTCTCAGGGGTCGGGGGTCGGCACTCGGGACTTGGGAAATTTGGGGAGATCAATAAAATTTGATCTACAATAAATTTGATTTACAAACAAATTGATTTACAAACTTTTGAAAGATATCTGTGTCGTCTCACATATTGAGTCCCGAGTTCTGGGACCCCCGAGACCTGAGACCCGGCAGTCCACAATTTCAGGGTTCGGGGGTTGGTAAAATGTTTATGGATATATGAAAGGTTGATTCAAACATGTTTGAAAGATGTCTTTCATCTCAAAAATCGAGTCCCATGTTCCGGGTAAGACATCTTTCAAACATGTTTGAATCAACCTTTTGTATATCCATAGACATTTTACCAACCCCCGAACCCCGAAATTGTGGACTGCCGGGTCTCGGGTTTCAGGGTTTGGGGGTCCCGGAACTTGGGACTCAATATGTGAGACGACACAGATCTTTCAAAAGTTTGTAAATCAATTTGTTTGTAAATCAAATTTATTGTAGATCAAATTTTATTGATCTCCCCAAATTTCCCAAGTCCCGAGTGCCGACCCCCGAGACCCAGCAGTCCACAATTTTGGGGTTCGGGGGTTGGTAAAATGTCTATGGATATACAAAACTCGGGACTTGACATTTGATATGAGACATCTTTCAAAAATGTTTAAATCAACCTTTCATATATCCATACACATTTTACCAACCCCCGAACCCTGAAATTGTGGACTGCCGGGTTTCGGGGTTTGGGGGTCTCGGAACTCGGAACTCGGTATGTAAGACAACAAAAATATCTTTCAGGGTTCGGGGGTTAGTGAAATGTTTATAGATATACGTAGATTAATTCAAACATGTCTGAAAAATTTCGTTCATCTCAAATGTCAAATCCTGAGTTCCGGGTTTCAGGACTCAGCACCCAGCACTCGGGGTTCGGCACTGAAAATTTGACATTCGGGTGTTCGGGTGATATCTAAATCACAACAGCTTCGAGTTCTGCCAAAGCGTGAAACTTGAAACCCAGTGTGCAACATGTTGATTTTTCATTTATATCACACAAATCATCGAGTTCCGAGTGCCCAGTGCCGAGACCCGAAGCCTGAGACCCGAAAATATGTACACAACATGTCCATTTTTCACTCACTGCACAAATCACCGAGTTTCAAGTGCCAAAGCGTGACACTTGAAACCCAGTGTGCAACATGTTGATTTTTCATTTATATCACACAAATAACCAAGTGCCAAGTGCCAAGTGCCGAAGCCCGAAGCCCGAGACCCGAAAATATGTATACAACATTTCCATTTTTCACTTGTTGCACAAATCACTGAGTTTCAAGTGCCGAAACCCGAAACTCAAAACCTGGTGTGCAACATGTTCATTGTTCATTTACATTACACAGATCATCGACTTCCGAGTGCCGAGGGCCGAGACCCGAACCCCGAAAATATGTGCGCAACATGTCCATTTTTCACCCATTGCACAAATCACCAAGTTTTGAGTGCCGAAACCCGAAACTCGAAACCCAGTGTGCAACATGTTCATTGTTCATTTACATTACACAGATCATTGAGTGCCAAGGGCCGAATATTGAAACCCGAAGCCCGAAAACATGTATGCCACATGCCCATCTACTCATTGCACAAATCACCAAGTGTCGAGTGCCGAAACCCGAAACGCGGTACTTCAAATGGACATGAATTCTGTCTTTGTATGTATTATCCATTGGTGTAGGGTTGAAATAACTTGGGAATTGTATTTGTCAGTGCTCGGTAGTTGGTAGTTGGTAGTTGGTGGTTGGTGGTTGGTAGTCAATATAGGCAAATGATAATGAAAAATGAAAGTTGTTATTACGCTTAACTTCCTTACCGAAGGTTGTAGTCCGAGTCTAGGGGAGTGTATTGGTAGTCTTTTCTTGTCCATCAGTTATCATTTAACCGAGATATAAGCTAAAGAAATCTGAAACATCGGCGATAATGAAAAATGAAAGTTATTATTATGTTTAAGTTCCTGAACAAAACTTGTAGGCCGAGCCAAGGTGAGTGTATTGGTAGTTTTTTCTTGTCAATTGGTTATCTCGTTACTCGGTACTAGGGAATCAGTACTCGGTATTTGGTTCTGATACTCGATACCCGAGAATCAGTAGTCAGGTACTCGGTACTTGGTTCTAATTCTCGGTACCTGGGAATCAATAGTTGGGTACTCCAGCCAATAGTCCTGAGTCCCGAGTACTGATACTTGGTATTCGGTAGTCAGGTTTGGAACTTGGGTCTTGGTTTGGTTATCATTTGACTGAGATATTGGTAGGCAATATTGGCACTCGGAGCTCGAATACTGACTATCAACTATCAAGTGTCGGGACTTGGTAATTGGTAGTTGAGACTTGGTGCTTAAATGGATATTGCATATATACATAAAAATACAAAATATGTTCCTATGTGTTCATTTCTAGGTGAATAGACTTTGAAATTATATCTCAATCATCTATTCAACAATAGAAACAATGTATCAGGAGCTCAGGACCATAGGGTAATCCTTTATTGTATAGTGTACCTCCCCCTCTTCTGGTGGTTCACCCGCTGGGGTTTTTTCCCTGATTCCCAGGTACTGAGTATCAAAACCAAATACTGAGTACCAATTACCATGTACCGAGTACTGCATAATGAGTAACAAGATGACCAATTGACAAGAAAAGACTACCACTACACTCACCTGGACTTGGACTACAACCTTCGGTAAGGAAGTTAAGCATAATAACAACTTTCATTTTTTCATTATTGCTGATGTTTTGCCGAATGACAAGGAAAGACTACCAAGACACTCACCTTGACGTGGACTACAACTGTCATTTTTCATTATCATTTGCCTATATTGACTACCAAGTCTCGAGTACCGACCACTGACCACTGATCACCGAGTACCAAGTACTGAGTACTGACAAATACAATTACCAAGTTATTTGAACCCTACACCAATGGATAATACATACAAATACAATTCGTGTCCATGTGAAGTACTGGGTTTCAGGTTTCGACACTCGACACTTGGTGATTTGTGCAACAAGTGAAAAATGGACATGTTGTGTACATGATTTTGGGTTTCGGGCTTCGGGTCTCGGCCCTCGGCACTCGGAACTTGATGATCCGTGTAATGTAAATGAAAAATGGACATGTTGCACACTGGGGATTGAGTTTCTGGTTTTGGCACTCGAAACTTGGTGATTTGTGCAGTGAGTGAAAAATGGACATGTTGCGCACATATTTTCGGGGTTCAGGGTTCGTATTTTGGCTCTCGGAACTCGGAACTTGATGACTTGTGTAATATAATTGAACAATGGACATGATGCACACTGGGTTTCGAGTTTTGGGTTTCAGCACTCGAAACTCAGTGATATGTGCAATGAGTAAGAAATGGACATGTTCCATACATATTTTCGGGTTTTTGGCTTCGGGTTTCAGCACTCAGCACTCGGAACTCAATGATCTGTGTAATGTAAATGAACAATCGACGTGTTGCACACTGGGTTTCGAGTTTTGGGTTTCGGCACTTGAAACTTGGTGATTTGTGCAGTGAGTGAAAAATGGACATGTTGAACAATGGGTTTCAGGGTCTCAGGTTTGAAAAATAGCATAATAACAACTTTCATGTTTTCATTATCATTTGCCTATATTGACTACCAAGTCCGATAAGGGACCCCTTGGATGATCCATTGCTCAATGAAATACTACCTGATTGGAAGTGTGCTGGTTATCAGATATTCATTTGTCAACTCCCGGGTCCCGGAACTCGGAAGTCGGTATGGTTGACCCAAATTTGGGTGGTTGGAACTTGGCATCTCATAGGGCAACACAAGCTTCGCACCCCGGATTCCAAATTTTGCAAGACAACCTGTGCACCATCAAAGGCCATGTCAGGAGATCACCTGCTGCTCCAGGAACTTGGTAACTTTGATTTATTACCTCCTCTGATTTGGTTGATGTACAACTACCTCAGCTCCATCATGTCTACAATTATGATACACATGGGCCCACCCATCTATATTTTATACCACCCTCGGCCCACCCATCTAATACAACATCCCATACAACACCCTCAGCCCACCCGTCTAATACAATATTTTATAATACCCTCAGCCCACCCATCTAATTTAATATGTGTCTGGGCCCACCCGTGAATGTGATAACAAGTACCTACCCATCTATCTCATACACATCTACCTTAATACACCCATCTGCATAATATCCAACTACCTCGGCCCACCCGTCTACCTAATATTCATGTCCATTGGCCCACTCATCTACTCTATATATTCCCTGCATGGGCCCACCCGCCTCCATCGGGAATAATTTGCCTCCCGGCCCATCCATCATAGTCGAGGATATTTTTATCATGGGCCCATGGTCTGCTGGCCCGTATCATATGGGATATTATGCATGTCCGTTCCCTCGTATTATATGGAGATAGGTCACTGTAATATGTGCTGACCATAGTAATAGATGCAAAACTGCACAAAACCTTCATTCCATAACAATCAATCATTCCTACAGAAGGTCGATGAGCTGCCACATGGACCTGCCTGGAGGTCAGCATCAAGGGAAATCAAACGGACGAGAATGGACAGTCACTGCATGAGGATGTCAAGCTTTGGATGTGTGATCCTGTGGAGTGCATCAAAGATCTTATTGGAAATCCTTTATTCAAGGAACATATGGTATACACACCATCATGAGCATACCAGGACAAAGCAGGCAGTCAGCAGCTCATTGATGATATGTGGATGGTTGATTGGTGGTGGGACAAGCAAGTGAGTAGCACATTAATTTTAAATGAGAGAAACGAACTTACCTTCACATCAGAAAGAACTACCTGAAGGAGCCACCATAGCTCCCATCATTCTGGCTTCTGACAAGACAATGTTATCACAATTTCAAGGTGACAAATCTGCATGGCCTGTTTACCTGTCAATTGGCAATATTGCAAAGGAGAAACAACGTCAAACATCAACACATGTGACAGTGCTGATTGGGTACCTACCAGCCATAAAGCTCGACTGCTTCACCTCCAATGCATGCTGGATACTGACTATTCTATACTGTTTGTCCCTGCTGCTGGAGCCCCTCATTGCAGCTGGTGAGGATGGCACAGACATGGTTTGCGCTGACTTGTTCATTTAACAAGTATACCCTATACTTGCCGCCTATGTTGCAGATTTCTCTGCACAGTGCCTGGTTGCTTGCTGTAAAGAGAACTGTTGCCCTAAATGTTTGGTTGCAGCCGATGAGCGGTGTAGAGATACAACAATTGCTGGGCACTACACAATGTAACCAGCAATATAAAAATGTGTTGTGGTCATGCACAGCCTAGTCTGCTATACTTGCAAGACAAGTGTGTTCGACCCGAGGGGTTTGCTGTATGGTATTAGAATAATTAGTTATACAAAAAGGAAGATAGTCCAAAGCGTGGGAAACAAAGTCCGAAGGTATAATTACAAGTCTGATGTCAAAATGTCGGGTCCGATGTTTTCAGGTTTCGGGTTAGCGGGTTTGCCTCAGGTTGCATTGGGTTAGCGTTGGGAATATAGCGAATGGCAGGTTACTGTCAAATGTTTTGGAGTGTTTCAGATAAAGAATGGATGATATTTGCGGAATTCAGCTAAGAACCACTAAGTATTGGATGACCTCCTCCTACTCAGAGGTAGAAAGGTAAGTGAATAGGTAGGAGGTATGCGAAATATATAGTGTCTATGTGGAATTTCGGAGTGCTATAGGTGAAAGTAGTAGCGCTGATTTTCAGGTCCGATGTCCTATGTAATAAGACACGATGTACTGCGGACATGTCATAACGCATTCTACGATGTTAGCGATGTGAAAACAAGTAACTGCACACCTAGTGGGGATAGATACGACAGGACAGGACTTAGGGAGGACAAGTGCGTGGGAAAATATTGGGTCTAATGCGGCCTAAACATCAGGTTAGCGGGTTTGTGTTGGGTTTGTGTTGGGTTTGCATTGGGTTAGTGGATAAACATCAGATTGAGCGGGTAAGTGTCGAATAACATCAGGAAGTGATTCATGTGCGACATGCATTGGAAAATAGCTGAATACAAGCCTAGCATGAGCTCGAGTGCTACAGTGGGGCAACCCACTAAATTCGGTGATGCAAGACCTGGAGTTGACAAAGGAGATACTGGAGAGACGGAGGAGTGGTCAGCACCCTGTAGAATTTGATGAGTATGGGCTGCACACCGTGTATAAACCTTTTTGGGCAAACTTACCACACACCGACATTTTTATGGTGTTCACGCCAGATCTCCTCCACCAACTTCATAAAGGGGTCTTCAAAGACCATCTTGTCAAATGGTGCCTCGACATCGTGGGCAACGACAAAATCAACACTCACTTCAAGACCATTCCAGACTATCCCAGTCATCAACATTTTAAGAAAGGGATATCCAACATCAAACAATGGACAGGAACTGAGCATAAGGAGATGCAATGCATTTTCATGGCACTAATTACCTGTTGCAGTCCCAAGGTGCTATATTATGCCTTTCTGCTCGGTTTCAATGAATTAACCCACTTTAATTTACAGTCAAGTTGTCATTGTCGCATGGTCCATACTGGATTTTTGCTATTACGCACAACTTCATACACATACAAGCGAATACCTGGATGGTCTGGAGAATGCACACACAGTATTTCATGTAAACAAGGATGTTTTAAAGGAACTCACAGTGCGCAAACATTTCAATATTCTGAAGTTGCATCAATTGTCTCACTACATTCAGTCAATCAAATTGTTTGGAGCTGCCAATGGATTCAACACTGAACTCCCTGAGCACCTACACATCAACTTTGCTAAAGGGGCTTACCATGCAAGTAACAAGTGTGACTACAAGGAACAAATGGTATTATGGCTTCAACGCCAGGAAGCAATCTTCTGGTGGACCTCTTACCTTGAATGGGTGGCCAAATGTGCTGCTCAGACAGAACATGAATGTGAGTATAACTCTGACTCTGATGCCAAGAATGAGGACTTTGATATGGTGCCTGTTGTTTTACAAGATATAGTTCATGTTCTAGCGAAGACACTTCCACACCCTCAGCAATCTGTTCAACATCTTGAAATCATGCATGGTGCCACTGATTTTCTACCTGCTTTCAAGTCATTTTTACAGAAGAATTTCCCACACAATCGCATTGTGCTCAGTTATCAAGATTATTTTGATGTTTTCCAACAAGTCGTCATCATCCTTCCCCCTGACCCTCATGTCCAAGTCACCCAAGTGCCTGCAGGTGAGGGCAATGCCTGAAGTGCTTCCTTTGCCTTCTGGATGGAAGCCGGGTTCCCCTGCATGATTTGACATGGCATTGATTAGTAGTGATAGTGTCCAAGCATCAAAGGTACTACTCACCCTGGATGGTATGTCAATGTCTTCCAATTCACACAGTATGATGATGAACTCTAAGTTATAGCTGCAGTCTGAGTTGCACAGGTCCATGTAATATTCATGCTGCCTCATCAATTTGGCATGTACTCGCGACCCCTTGCCTACATTGAATGGTTCACACTATTCAGAGAGGCAGACCAGACAACTGGTCTGCATCAAGTCACACATTCAACTCATTGCTTGTGTCAGAATGGGGCCGTGATACATGTTGATGAAATTATTCGTCCATGTCACCTAATACCAAAGATGGGTCAATCAGTCAATCCTACATGTATGAGCATGATGAACATGTATGAGTTGGTGAGTGAATTTTACTTGAATACATTCATTGACCTCGAGACTTCTTGTATGTCCACTATGATTACTTAGAATATAGAATAGCACTACAGTGCTCAATTAAATTACAGTGTGTGAATTTTGACTACAGTTACCACAGTGACTACAGTGATTACAAGCACCTCCTGTAGCACTACAGCGCTCAATTAAATTACAGTGTGCGAATTTTGACTACGTTACTAGTACAGTGACTACAGTGATTACAAGCACCTCCTGTAGCTCTATATAGCCCTGACTTCAGCTACAGATTGCTACAGTGACTATGTATAGTGTTGCCGCAGCTCTGGCTTGTGGCCGGCTTTAGCCGCAAGCGGAGCTGTAGGTAGCCAAACCGTGTATGTAGTTATAGCTTATGTAATTAGTAGTTTGGTCTAGTCTATGGAGCCGCATTTAAGGTCTTAAAGCCAGCTTTAATAATAATAATAATAATAATAATATATATATAATATATATAATATATATATATAATTGTATTGAAATGACACAAGTCTATGCTCTTGATATGTGGTGGTTTCTTTAGTGGTGAGATAGGATGAGAATGGATGTACTACACATGACGAGAATGTACTACAGAAAATTGGTAGCGGGTGATAATAGAAACAAATTTACCGGTACAGCCGTACAGGCTTGTGTTTTGGGATACCTGGTGAAGACAAAGCTAAAATGATGCGAGCCGGACAGTCCTCCATACCTGGGGGTGTTGGAGGAGATGCCGTTGATGACGGCAATGTGGGTGGTGTGATGTAGGAAGAGCTGGGCGGGGGGGATTTTGGGATACCTGGTGAAGACGAAGCTGAAACGATGTGAGCCGTGCAGTCCTCCATACCAGGGGGTGTTGGAGGAGATGCCACTGATGACGACAATGTGGGTGGTGTGGTGTAGGAAGAGTTGGGCAGGGGGAATCAGGCTTTGGCGGTGAAGGATAACAATGACCATATATAGGCGTAGGTGCCAAAGTGGCTGGAGGAGGCAGGAAGGGATTTGTGGTAGGAGGAGGAGTTGTCTGGGACGATGAGGGAAGAATGTGAGAAGGGTAAAGTTGTTGACGTACCAAATACTTCTTGACCATGTCCTCGAACTCCCTGAACGTCACTGGATCCACATTGAGTTCCCACTCCAGATACTGACACATCTCATGCTCCGTCTGGCTAGTTTTGTGCGGTTGGAACGTGCCCTTCGTCCAGAGTCTGAGAGAGGGAGAGGCGGGTGGGTGCAAAGAACGATAGAGGGAGATAGATGGGTGGTGTGATGTAGGAAGAGTTGGGTGGAGGGAAAGCAGGCTGTGGCAGTGAGGAATAACGATGGCCATATGTAGGTGTAGGTGTCAAAGCAGCTGGAGGAGGTGGGGAGACATTGAGAATGCATGAGAACGTAAGAAGATTAATAACACACCTTGTAGTTGAATCCATAGCTCAGCTGAGCAATTTGGATATACAAACTATCTGCGAGACAACTTGTGGTGAGGTGAACATGCCATGTGTCCGAGTAGCGCGACCAGCTCATGAGTGTAGTTGCACAAGAAAATCTCAAGTCTAAGACGCCTGCCGGCAACTAAATTGAGCGCCCTCTCACAGGGCTGAGAATAACTTACTAAAAATAGAATTCAACTTCACATCTACTGCCGACAAAGCTGATAGATCAATATCATAGCAATCTACTACCAGTCTACTACTGGATCTACACTCATCATCCCTCAACACATAACTATTCAAGTACATATGGGTCCCCAAGATAACATACGTGGTCCGAATCGTCTGATGAATGTTCAATCGAAAGCTAAACATATGTTAGTTGTATGGCAGTGCTGCTCGCGCGCGACACTTACAAGAGCAGCGGATGACTGAGCGGCAGGACAGAGAAGAGAAAGGGAGAGGAGAGAGGAGAGGAGAGGAGAGGAGAAATAAGAGGGGATGGAGGAAGGGAGAGAGGAAGGGAGGGAAGGGAGAGAGGAGGGGAGAGAAGAGGGGAGAGAGGTCAGGTGCCAGGGAGATCAAGGTGGCGATCTTGGTTGTTGAGGATGTTGGGGAGGCAGGGATAGAAGCAGCTGTTGTAGGGAGAGCCGTATAGATTAGAAAGTGTCTGTACATGATTGTGTCAATGATTACTCACTTGAATGGCTCTAGAATTGACGTGTGATGCGCACATACGTTCAGCATGTGGATGTGGACCTTCTGTTGCTGGTCCTTCACTTTGAGACCACGACAGATATCTAACCGCCTGTCATCCATGCAATTCGAGCAGGAAAGGAGCTCTTTGTATGCGCCTTGGAATGGGAACCACGCCTCCAGATCGCATTTCTTTGACCTTGAAGACACCGTTCACTCTGTGCAGTTCGATTTCTTTCGTTGGATGCCATGCCAATGCTTCAAAGAGTATCAGGGAACTTGAGGTAAAACAAAGAGTAAAGCACCTACAATGCTCGCGAACCTTTTGCACCTTGATGAGGGGGGCAGGGAAAATCCCTCCTGCGAGTGATGCCCAGCAGGAGGCCTGAAGACTTGCGTAATAGCCCAACAAGATGTGAGCCAGTACTGAGAATGCCACAGACCTCGTAGGATTCACCCCATTTGGCCAAGAACACCTTGGAAAATGATCAGTGATATGTATGGGGTCAAAAGCTGCAACCATACCTGATTCCCAATGTTGATCATGCGGATCATAAGCATCAAGACGAGAGTCAGTGCCCAGTACATTAAACCTGCCGCCTTGATGTATGTATACCCAATATGTTCTGAAAGGCACCCAGCCTTCCGCCCAAACTTCTGCTTCCATTAGTTTTTAACAATTCAAGATGGCCATTGCTTGGGAGAACATCCTTGGCTGTCAGTTTGGCCAGATACTAGATTATTACTCACACCTCAACATTTGATTTCCGGCCCCAAACTCGTCATGCACTCAGAACTACGTCTCATGGTGAGAAACGCGAATCTGAAGACTACGAGAGGTGGATGGGCAAAGTGGCGAAAGATTGCCAAATTGAGAAGTCCAAACTGTTTGGATGGACATCTGCAATGTTTGATGAGTGTTGGCACACTGCAAAGTGTGAGTAGAGGTGATTAGCCAGTACTTGTAAAGACCGAGAGAGCACTTGGCCTGTCGAGATGAAGCACAGGCTGTCAAGGAAAGGCGAATAATGAACAAGTTCACTATTGCAAACAGCCAGGCAGCTAGAACACATAAAGATAGGGCAAACAAGAGATAAGTAGGGAAAGAAAACATCATAGCTCATAGGTAGTAGGAAAATCATCGATGTTGTCACACTCATCCTCTGCGATAGCTCTGAGAAGATTGTCGCATATATCACCTGTAATGCCACTGTTATTTAATGTCAAAACAGTGTTGGATTCCTGTCGTTCGCGCAACATCTTGTACTCCATATCCTTCTGTGATGCTGCCCAACCTTTGGTAAAGTTGAGTCGCTCTTTTTTCAGGAGGAACTTTACCACCTGCAGAGCCTCCATCAGGACCAGGCTTGTGCAATTACATTTCTTCATGTCAGTTTCGCTACTAGATGAAAAAACTTGCTCGCATGGAACAGCGGAGGCCTGTATTGGGAGATGGTTTATTGCAATGCCGAAAATTGTTGGAAATGATGTCTCTGCAACCTGGTCAACACCTCGTGGTCAATGACGAAAGGTATAACATATGGAGACGCAGGACGCTCACCTCCCAGAACGCAAGTATGTCCATTGTCTTGGGGCTAAGATTAGCCGTAGTGTAGGCCTCGAACTCTTGCTCGACCATTTGGGCAATGCTGTCGTGACGCGGCAGGACATTGATGTCAGGTAGTCCATAGAGGCGCGAGCCTAGTGTGCGTGGTTGTTCTCGAAGTACTACTTCATTAGCTGAAGGCCCTACATATGCTGAGCCATTTTCAGCTCACTTTTGATGCATCTACATGAGATAATATCAGTTTGACCTTTGAAGTTGCATGGTAGACGTACCAGATGGATTATATGCTCGTCTACATCTTTATTCATTTGTTCCCCCCAATGATTCCGAACCCACGACATTCAGATACTAGGATCGACAACTGATGAACTCAAACGTGAGCAACCATACATTACTAAAAGATATCGATGGACTCACACATAGCAACTGCATAGGCATTTGTGGCGCCCATCCTCTCGTCATACTTATCAGCCCAATCTAAACCTATCTGGACAAGAGGGTCACAGTGTGGGACATGTTGGGCCAAAAGCTTCCAGCGCTCGATAAACATTTCGAACGCTGGAAATGCACCGCTCAGCTTGGGAGTGCATTCACCTGACATACATTGTTGGGCAGCATGGGGTGCCTGATATGACACAGTCAGATGAAGCGTGAATTTTGAATATACTAAAACTGACCTCTAGGATTACTTCAACGTCCTGTAAGAACTGCCACTCCATCGAACTCAGTTTGAATTTGCTGATAGAGCGTTGAGTAGGAGTGTCAAAGAATAAATCTATTGCCTGGGCAACTATTAGTCATGGCAGATGTTTAGTGGGTGATATCTTACCTGGCAAAGGGTTCGCAAATGGTTAAGCATGATATAGACTGAATCCCAGCGAGTTGACTCATCAAGCAGGAGTTCGACAATGGGGAGCTGTAGTTTCGCACCCATGTCATCTTGAAACCACTCCTTCTCGTTACCTGTGACAATGGTGTCCCTGAAAAAATCACATCGCTGGTTAGATGCGCCAATTGTGTGCACAACGTCCCTAGCTCTGAGAATAGCTTTCCCTGACACGGCCTTGAGATACTCCGCTTTTATGATAGTGCGATTGCCAATGACCCAATAGTCAGGCACAAGCAAATAGTCGGCTGTGTGGTATTCTTCGATGATGTGCTTCACACATATGTTAATGATGTGGGGGAAACACAGGATTCTGTGGTCAATGGGAGGGAAATCAATCCCCCAGGACTCGAGTTTGTGCGACAGCTCCCACATGGCAACCTGGTTGTTGGAGGCATTGTCCAAGGTGAAATGACCAGTCTAAACAAAGTCAGAGCATGCTACACGGCACAACCAAACACTAACCTTCTTGGTCACACCGGCACGATCCAGAAGATGCAATATTACTTCTGCTAGCAATTCTCCAGTGTGACTTCCTGGGACGTGATGGAAGGCTATCAACACTGCGTTCAAGACGAGGACTGAACTATGGTCTGCCCTAGCAATCCAGTGGGCGGTAACAGCCATGAATGGGAAAAGGTTAGAATTTGACCAGAGGTCCGATGTGAACGAAACCTTTCCCAGGGCAGCCTGAAGAATATAAGATGCTTTGCGGGGCTCTTGACAACTGTAGACCTACCACAAGGTCCCTCTTCAAAGCATTGAAGTGCTCATGGAAAGCATCAATGACCAATTCACGTATTTTAGTTTGATGAAAGACATCAGTCTCATTGAGCAATGGCTGCAGAAGACAGATCAGGCAGCGAAATTCTGAGCATTCAATAATGCTGATTGCCTGAAAACAATTACTGACTATAGTATGTAGAAAGTGTGCATCAACTCACCTGATCATCGGCAATGATAAATCTCACAATCTGTTTGTGCATTTCATCCAGGGTAAAGTTAGGCAGTACGTCATCTGGAGCTAACAGGCTGGTACTGGTGAGTGAGCTAGGACTTGGGGGAGTACCGAGTGAGTCCAAGGTGTAAGCCAGATCCTTGAGCCGTTGATGCAAGGTCGCAATCGTCCAGCCATCATCCAAAAATGTCTTCAAACGCGATGAAGCATGGACGTGCCAGTGGTTGCGCTCTGCTTCTTCCAAATAAATGATGGTATGCTCGTTAAATGCATGTGTCCGACGACCTGTAGTGCCTGTAGTAGCAAGGTATGATACAACAGCATGAGTATTGTCATGAGTGTGGATTTCTCTTGCAAATTATGTTAGAAAAAATGATAGACTGCAAATACAATACTCACTCGCAGGCTTTACAGATTCTAGACTGAGTGACAGGGTCCTGTCTGTAGAAGAAATGAACGTCAGCAGAGGATTTAGGTGGTTTGGCTCAGCCACCAGTGGCCAGAGGGTCAGTTCTGGTGGTATTCATCGCAGTCTGGAGTGGACTAGGGCATGCAACAGGCGTTACTGTGAGTGCAGGAGGGTTGGCCGCTTTGTCTTCCTCATCATCGGAGATGTTCTCAAGGTGAAAGGATTCCCCTTCGTCTGCAGCGGGACTTGAACCATTATCTCTGAATCTAACAGGAAGCTGACGACATCTTGGGGGATTTTGAAGCACGGATGCATTCGCTGCAGCAGCAATGGGAGCAACAGCAGGAGTTGCAGTAGGAGGAGTGGCAGCAACAGGAGCAGCAGTGATGGGAGCAGGAGCAGCTTTGGGAGCAACCCGGGAAGTGTTCTTCCGTCGAGGAGGCATGGTTGTGCTGAAGGATCTAATGTCAGAATTACCTGTCTATATAGGTTTTCACCATGGGAAACCCCAGAGCACACCAACGTGCAGCAATTGCAAGTCCCTGATGGAAAATCCATAGGTGTCGCTAGCGAAGTAGCCTTGATGTTTTAATGCTATATGTGAGTCAGATGAGTGAGAGCCTTGAGGAGCAAAAAACTAATGCGATTTTGAGATAGGGACTTACTAGAGGTGATTGACTCCAGCAGAGGGCCCAGAGGCTCTCTAGATCGCAACAGAATGGATGGGATAAGGTCCTTGTGCAGACAGTGGGTGACTGTGGCCCATGGGTGACCGTGTAACTGAATGATCAAGGAAATCAGAAATCAGATCCTCATTTTCAGGCTTAATGACTTTTTAGAAAGTCACCATGAGTCTCTCATTGCTGAGTTGCACTGCTGCCTGCAGCATGTTGAAAGATAAGAGGTTGCGTTGTGCATGGGAGTTGGAGAAATGAGATACCATCTTGATATTAGTCATAGACTCAAAGGCTGTGCTCCTGCCACTGCTATGAAACCTATCATGATAGAATCATTAGCTCACATAGTATGCATATACAGTCGTATGTACAAGTAACAAGTAGCACTATATAACGGTGTCATGATATATAAACTAGGCCTTTTTCCGGCGTGGAGTTGAGGCAGTTGCATGCAATGGGGAGGGGTGATTATGTGGGCATAAACTTGCAATAATGTCAGTTCAAAAGTGAGGCCATAAAATGGACTACTGACACACAAGACGATCTATGAAGCGGCAGGCATGGACTTGAAGGCACTGCCTTGATTGCCCAGGGTTCATCATAGCATGGAAGGGGATGTGCGGTAGGCACATCAGGCTTGCCAAAATCCAGCTGTGTGCTTGCTGGAGCAGGTGATGTAGAATGAAGTACACGAAGTAAGGAACGAATGTGGTTGTAGTCAGGGTCCTCTGAGAATGTGAGAGCACGCGTGTAAATGAGAATCGTTGCGAATTGGACAGGAATTCCTTGACACAAAACTTCAATGGTAGTGTTGACTTTGCGCTCGAGTATGGAAGAGCTGGAAAGCTTCTCTTGGTCACTGGTCAACCATGGAAGAGAGCCCTGCAAACAGTATATTAACATGTATGTGAGTGACTCAAGGTCATCACGACGACCCAGTTCAAGTCCCAAATGATTGTTGATTGACGTGAATGCAGGAGTGCTGGTAAGACGTTGACCTTGGCGAAATGGTATATGGACTCTGGTCGATGTGTTCCAGAATTCCTTTGCGGTGCTGAAATCAATGAGAAAGGCGGTGTGCTTCAAATCGCCAAGGCCCACCACAACATTCTGTGGTTTGATATCACCGTGGATGTAATTATGCGAATGAATGTATTCAAGATGTGAAAGCTGGGAGATGGGGTTAGCGATCTGCGCGTGCGATGGCAATACACACACTGACTGACCAGCTGGTCTCCTAGATTCACAACAGTGTCAAGGCTAAATTTTCAGTTGTGGGCAAGGAAGATATGATGCAGTGATGGCCCAAGGAGGTCAAGAACTAGAGCATGATATGCCGACTCCCTACCAAACCACAGGGCACGGGGAATCCCAATACCACCTTCAAGGTTTTTCAAAATGCGGTATTCACGCTGCACAGAAGATGAGTGGTTGATAGGTTCAAGCTTGATGGCGACTGCGTTATCCTTGATGATATTCCGTGCACGATACACAACAGCTAAATGCGGTCCAAATGTTGAATCAACATGTAGTCAGTGATATGGGAATGACATACCGTACGAGCCAGACCCCAACATGTCTCCCAGCCTAAACCTTCCATCAACTCGAGTAGGGACCTTATCCATGATGTATACAATAGCCTAAGTAGAAATAACGTGAAATCAACTAACTGAGAGGAAAGCGAATAATATTCTGCCACCCAACTGCCACTTTTGCATTTCGGCCTGGACTGGCTTGAGCCAGCTTAAAGCGGTTCAAGCCAAGGTTCACACATTTTTGGTTGAAACCAGTTTGCATGGCTTACAAATCGGACCGAGTCACTAATCAGTGGCTTGGCTCACGATAATTGCCAAACTTCTGGCAAACTGGCAAATGCTGCACTGGAGCTGACCATAGCTGAGCCGTGGTAATACTAACTATGTAGCACTATGTAGCCATCACTGAGACTACACCAATATTTGTTTTTTCCTGATGTTACATATGACCAACAACCAGGGGTTGCTATGTGTGTGATCTCCAAATCACCTAAATTCTAATGATGATGTTACCACAATATCCTAGTATTAGTGAATTTCTTGGGACAACAAAAAAGATATCCATATATAGTTTTTGATTTTATGCAAAGTTCACTCAGAATACACCAAGGTTGGCATCTGCTGTACACCTGAATTATGCTTTTCGGGCTATGTTTGGTTTACAAATTATGTGTTTTGCCATGTAACTTTCCATAATTTATAGAGGTTTGTTAAATTCCTTATCTTTTGCTCGCAGAATGATCTGATCCTTCATCCTTCTTCTCGTCGTCTACTTCCTCAACATCCCGCAAACTACGTGTTGTAGTACATTCATAACCAGATACGTCAATTTCCTCGAACGTGTCAGCGGCACCGATTACCGGGAAGATGCAATTCAACGCCCAATAGATAATTGCAGAAACTCCAAAGCCCGTAAAGAACGATAATTCATATATCCGAGTAGCTGCTAGAGGGACTGTGCGCCCAGCTGGGAAATAACATCTCAGGATCGATGCATCGCGACAGTGGGGGCAACTCACTGGCTCCAGCGAAACCGACAACATTAATAAGGATCCCAGAAATATACGCAGTATATGCCCTTAACAATACTTGTCAGGGTTGAACACTTCAAGGCAATCAAAACTCTCACCGGAAGTTGATTCCATACGTGTACCAGTACCAGCTGCCCCTTTCGGTGTTATAGAGATCCTTCACATTGTAATGACCCTTGCGGATGATGTAGTATTCTGTCACCTATAGCAACCCGTTCACAATGGCGAAAAGAACAATGACAGAAGCGCCTACATACCATCACCCCGGCAATGGAGCTCAGGAACACTGAATATGCGGAGAGGTAAGAGGTGAACTCATTACTATTTTTCAGAAGGTTCCATGGACACATGGCGAGACCAACGGTAGCAGCGATGTACCCGCCACGTCGGATGTTCTGCAGTTGGTTCTTGAGTATGTTAGTTCTGAGTATACACTGGATATGCATACAATAAAACGAGGGAACAGTGCGGTCAAATCGCATCCCGCCGACACTGAATTTGCGCAGATGTTCGTGCTTGGTAACCAATGTCAGCTCGGAGCCCGTTCTGAAGTCTGGGTATGTTATTTGACACACCCCATCTAGGAGAAGAAGAAGCATTAGATTCGCAATATCATCGAAAACACGTGACGTCACCTGTGCAAGCATGAATGATGCTGAGATGAACCATACCTGCAAGGAGGAAGACGTGAAAGCGTGTCAGACATAGACCAAGCTCCTCGGATATCACAATCACACACCCCGAATCTCGTTGCTTTCGACGGATTGTCGTTCAAGAAATTTCCCAACAGTTCGATGGGCGACCAAATGGCTGTCCCGTAAATTGCCTGCGACGACGAGCTCACAAGGATTCCGATCAAACTTACAAACGCCGCACTTAGAGGAATCGCAAACAGTTGTGGGTATAGCGCGGCGGATGAAGTGCGAGCGCGGGAGGCAAAATCCGGTGCGTTGGTGACTAGGGTTACTTCGTTACTAATGCATGACATCGAACTGACCACCATAGCCCAGCCTAGCTTTGATCCCTGCAGTGTTGAAGGTTGATGCACGATCGGACCGATTCCGTGAGCTTTCACAATGCACCATATGAGAAATGTGATTGAGGCTATGGGCATCAGGATGGGTGTCACAAGGAAGAAGTGCCGGCTGAGGAAGGTCACTTTATGACCGTCTTCATGGGAAGATGTGAATGTACTTACACCTTGTGCACAGGGAACCAAATGATCGGCAGCGAAATGAGCCAGAAGAGGAAGAAGCATAGGAAATCCCGAGTGTCCGTTCCAGAGGACGCAGGCATCGAATTTGCTATCGGCCAGCTTTAGTTGAGTATGATTACCATAGGAAATGATAAACGCACGCAGGTCATATATGCTAGGCCACATTGCTCTGAGCATTACGAGCACACAGGAACCTCCGATGCTCGCCTGGACGCCATACCATATGCTATGTTGCTTAGCTCGTACATCATTGCGAAGCTGGGAAGGCGCACCATGCCATAGCGGCGCGATTAAAGACACACCACAAACTCCCAAACATCCCGAAGCTCGTGCGATTCACGATTGGAAACATCACATGGAAGATAGCACCAGGACGTGCATTCAGGACAAGGAAAGGCGCGGCAACGCCATAACCCAGCCAGACGCATATCCAGGCTTGCCACCACGACATCCCTAGTTGGATCATGGACCTTGGAAATTTCATTTAATACCGAGCAAAATAATGATGATGGTGAGCGTACGATACGATCATCCACATGTTTATGTTGAACGTGTCCGCTGTCCAGAAGGCAACGTAGTTGTATGCACGCCATGTGCGTTTCTCCGGCTCAACAGGCAGCAAATCGTAGTTCTATCATAGAGCAAATTGCCGTCAGTACATGCAGGGATAGATCGCATCCATTGTGGATACTCACGGCAACGAGCTGCTCGGTAATGGTGAGGTTGGAGTCATGGGTGACTTCGAAGCTTTGGACGATCCTATTAAGCAAGCCCATGACAAGTTCAAATGGTAAGAGCCTAAGAGGGCGCTATCATCGTTCACGCGCTCGGAGTCGCAGTTCTTTAACTCGATGCTTATCATGCATGGCTAACGCCACCACGCGGCAATTAATGTCCCTGACACCCATTTTCACATGATATCTTGGGCTACCAGGCGGCCACAACTCACAGGCAGCTCCCTATGCGTCAAGATCCTCCAAAATGGCCCTCCGTTTGTGATAAGTGAATGAACAATCGAAAGGTGTAACGAGCGGCAGCTAACAGAACTATATGTTTTCAACATGCGCCCGCCAGGAATTTTTAACTTCGGCGACTTCTGCAGAAAGTACCGCAACAGAAGTAAGTGCATTCCATGAGGTTTCTCCGTATCGGCTCGGCAATTGTATGTATGCCACAGTCACTCGTCTGTGAGTGCCTGCCAAGTCTTTCCGAGGTTAAAACAAGATGATTGATTGAGACGTCATGAGTGTGAAGGTCAAATGGATATGCATGCGAATTTTGGAATATCGTCGTCGTCGTCAGACTCAGAGAGAGAGAGAATTATACCGTCAAGCAGCCGGTTTTCATTAAGTCGACCCAGCCAGCAACATGAAAAAGCCTGCCCTGAAGGTCGGCTAAAGGCCGCTAGAATAGGCAAGAGCTGTCGCCGCTCTCCAACTTCCAAGACGCAGTTCAAACGTTCGACTCGCGAGCCTTGCGATGTGAACCACAGGATAGGAGGAGCGCGACTCTCTCAGAAAACACAAAATTTGGGCCTAGGACTGACTCGAATGTCTGCCGCTGACTGTCTGTTACCTCGGATGTACTATCATACATACAATTATCTGCGAATCATATCTTGGCCGAGTCGGGGACTGGCGCAGCCGAGCACCGGTAGGGTCAACTTCTTATCACAATCTGGGATCATTCGAGGGTCCAACGTTTATCGCTCATATGCAGCTTCTGGTTGCCTGCAGGTGTCGAATTTGGGTGTACTGTTTACGCCTCAACCTGTTTGGAAATTCAGACAGAGCGCTCGGTCGACGTGATACTACAAGGACGACCTCGTTGCAGAGTTGTTTCAAGCTCGAGGCACTCCTTCGTACCATCATTGACACAGCTCAGGTCCAAGTTCCCTAGAACCACGCCATTATCACAAACTCCTCTTCTTCATGTTGGACTTACTCTCTAAAGATCGAATAACCAACGAGGCAGGCCTCAGAGCTTCCTTGCATCATCTGGACGTAATTTCAAGTTCAGGAGCAACCGCATTACAAGCCACGGTCGAACACATGTTGTCATCAGCCCATATTTTTGCATATATCATTTCTGGTATCTCACAGACTTTGTTCGAGCGCCATCAGCTCTGACTCTGTAACAGTTTGGGATCGCCGCGAGGCAATGATATCACAGATCATGACAGACTTTCCAACGAAATCTCAAGAATATCCAGCATCCATTGCGAGCAAAATGCTAGACAATCTGTCTATGTACTTTTTAACTTTGCCAGTTGAATCCCTAGCGACGGATGTCTCAAGGGATGTCTCAAGGGACATCAGCCGCCACAGAGGCTTCATCGAGCGCGCTTTACCTGTACTTTGCGCGTTGAACGCTATGAAATTTGCTGGTCCAGGGTCATTTGAAGACGAGATTGATCTCTTCGACGTCGACTTTGATGATGAATTCTTCAAGAAGAAAGTGTCTCAGAAAGTGCGCAAGCGTAATCGCCCGAAAGCTCATGCGGCTATCGACACATCACTCTTCGTGAGGCTCGATGTGGTTGTGCCTCTCACGAGCAAGGCTGCCGCATCATTGTCTATTCACATCCTTGCGGAGCTGAAAAATGCTCTCTCGGTGAGTATATTCGCTACTTTTTGACGTTTCCTCTGACAGCTCTCCGTAAGTTCTACCTCTCGCTTCTCCGGAGGACGGAATTGGCAGGCGACATCAAAGCCTTACTCTTCCCAAATGTGGGAGAGTCTGCCAAAGATGTTGCGCCTGAAGTTTCGTTAACCGAGGATGTCGAGAGCCCGACCGACCGACCCAATACGTACCAAATGGTGCAGCCTATGGAGTCTGCGCTTTACTTCGACAACGCGGATGAGTTCGGAGCGTGGCAAATCCTTATATCTACGGAGGCTTACAAAAAGTTGCTTGAATTCCGTAGAGCAAATACGGAGATATTCAAGATCATCTTCAAGCAGATTAAGTCTGTCTTCTGATGAATTTCGCTGCAATAATCTCATCATTGCCACAGACAACTATCGAAAGGTCACTTCTCCGATGATAACAACAGGCAACTTAACGGGCCGGATGCAGGCATACCTATCTACTATGCCAAGATGACCAGTGGCCTACGATTAGTAGTAGGTGTAATTTCACGCACGTCGCTCAGAGCAGAACCACCCACTTTTCTCACAGTACCAGATCGATTGTGTCCCTGACCAGGATGGAAAGGTGGGTCCTGACATCAACATCGAGCATGGTACTGAGACTGGAGTCTTGACAGTCCGAAACACAAGGTGAGCTATCAAGAGCGATTACATCTGTCCGCCATTAGCACTCATATGAACTCCAGTAATCAAGGTATACGGCATTTATACGCATGATCGGATTGGCAGAATATGGGATGCCTTGGGTAACCATCTCGCACGCAAGGGCAAAGAATATCGTAAAAGGTAAGGACATTTTTCAGCTCTTGATGCAATTCACTGAATGATTTCTTGCACAGATGTATCTTTCAGAATAAGCCAGTCCTTTCTACAGATAGAGCGATTCTGCCTGCATCATTCCCACCAGCTAAACCAGAGCCAGAATGTTCAGGAAGCCCACTCAATCCTAGTAATAAGGACATGGACCGAGTTGAGTACTTTCAGTTGTCATTTGTACAGTCATTGACCCATGGCATAGCTTCACTCTTTACTTGTGTACGAATTTTCGCCATCCTTATTTAAATTGGTTTTCATCTAACAATTTTCTAGTTTGGAGAAATATGTCACATTCTCGCAAGTAAGCTTATAAACGCGATTCATAGGCACGCAAATATTCATTCGGTAACCTTTTGTTTTAGGCGTTCTTGCATAGTAAGTGATCATGTAGTTAGCTCGCCGCCTCCTCTTATCTTTCCAACAGGTCTCATCGCAAACCAAGACGTACAGCACGTCTTTAGACTCGAGTAAGTTCTGCCCCAATGTGACGCATTTACTGATCAATGTTTGTTCAGACCTCAAGAACAAGAGATTGTTGAGTGTACCACATCATGTTACGTCTTGGGTCGCAGTGGCACGGGGTAAGTGTCCTGCCCCTAATATGAATAGCTTATTTATCGCACCCGATTAGAAAAACCACAACGATGCTGTTTAAGATTCTCGACATTCAGCGAGCTTGGGAGATGAGTGACGTTGACATGCCGAAGCCACGCCAAATCTTCGTCACCAAATCCAGAGTGCTCGCCACGAAAGTGGAAGAGTATTTCACAAAGCTTCTCGAATCTCTGGCGTTAGCAGGCTATACCCTGCAGGAACTTGCAAGAATGAAGGTAAAAAGTGTTCAGGAGGGCCTTGTTGATCTCGACGACCTGCCCGAATCACAGAAGAATATACCCATGAAATACAGCGAACTTGAGGATCAGCACTTTCCTCTTTTTGTAACTTTCGATCGAGTACGTCCCAATTCGTCGTCCGGACAGTTCTCAAGCTAATGATTTATATAGCTGGTGAAGATGATCGCGGCAGATATCTTGAGCAAGGACATCCGAGGGCTTTTCTTCAATATTAACAATGCTGAGGCGCATGACAGTCTCGTCACCTATGACGTATTCGCAAATCAATACTGGCCTCATTTTCCGCAGAAACTCACTAAGAAACTCAGTAGTGTCTTTTCTCTTGTGATGACAATGAAGTACTGACACTGCCCCACCAGACCCGTGGTTGGTTTTCAGCGAATTCATGGGTGAGTACTATTTGCATTACCTTGATACTGACAATTCCTGAATATACATACAGGGGTGGTTAAAGGCTCCGGGCACGCACTGAATTGTCCTGAAGGAGTTCTCGATCGCCCAAACTACCTTCGTCTTCCTCATCGTTCTAATCCAAATTTTGCGAGTCAGAGGAAGATCCTGTATGACATCTTCGAGTATTATACGAAAATCAAGAGGCAGCGACGTCATCATGATGTTGCAGACCGGTACGACCTTTTCTCTCTTCTCACCCACGTAATGTCACGATATATGCCTAAACAGCACGCACGCGATACTCAAAGTCCTGCAGAGCCGAGGGTTCCCCGGTCAGCAGATCGATTATCTGTATGTGTTATCCCCACCAATGCATCTTGCCCCTGACCACCTGCACTAGATATGTCGACGAAGCACAAGACAACCTTCTGATCGATGCACTCCGTAAGTAGCTACTCCATCATTCGTGGACAGAAATCCCTTTAGAACTTTCTGTTACAGTGTTGAGGCAATTGTGCAGGAATCCAGACGGTTTATTCTGGACTGGGGACACCGCACAGACAATCTCTGCAGGGAGTTCCTTTAGGTTCGATGACCTGAAAGCGTTTCTCTACCATGAGGAGGTCAGCAGATAGTAAACTTAGCTCGGGCCTGAATTGATACCTCAGAGCAGCAGCGGAATATCTCGGTCAATTCCGCTGGAGCATGTCTTCATCAGCCTACGACATTTCAATTGGCGATTAACTACAGATCGCACGGTGGCATCGTCAACTGCGCGCACTCTGTGATCGAACTCATCACAAAATTTTGGCCCGACACAATCGATAACCTTCGGCCAGAAAAGGGGGTGGTTGACGGGTTGAAGCCTGTATTTTTTACCGGTTGGGATAAAGACGCCGCTCGTTATGAACAGTTTTTGTTTGGGGCGAGGTAAGTATGCCTGGACGATATCCCTCTTTTCCTTCTGAGGATTCTTCCAGCGGTAGTCACATTGAGTTCGGAGCCCAGCAATGTCAAGTAATTGGTTAGAGGTCTCATTCATACACTGACAAGACATCTAGGCATTCTCGTGCGTGACGATGCAGCACGTCAGAAGTTGCGAGACCAAGTTGGTGAAATTGGACTGATTATGTGAGTTGTATCAAGACTACCTTTACTCTATTTTCATGTTCACATATGCGTGCAGGACCCTTGACGAGAGCAAAGGCCTGGAATTCGATGATGTGAGAAAGCTAAATTTGCTATCTGATGGATGTCTGACTTCGGTCAGGTACTGTTGTACAACTTTTTCGAGGATTCTGTCGTAGATCTGTCACGATGGCGCATAGTTTTCGATGAGGTAGACAGTCAAGGACATACATCGAAGTTCGATCGTGACAAGGCGCGATACGCTGGGGTTTGTAGCGAGGTAGACGCACCGATCCTCGAAATAAACTCAGGCTTACTTCTATTAGCTCAAATTTCTTTATGTGGGGATCACTCGAGCAAGGAAGAACATGTGGATCGTTGATAAATCAAACCCGATGC